TATTAGAGCATAAGCTTTCGTGGACTACAGCCCACTTCTGCTTATGCTCTAATAAATTTGTTAGTCTCTAAGGTGCCACAAGTCCTCCTGTTCTTCTTTTTAGTAAAACTAATCAAATTTCTCAAACATATAGAAAACAGGCAAATATGTGGCTTATCAGTGAAAGCCAACACAGTTATCTACATTCTCAAACCATAGAGAATTTGCCACTTCCTCTTCTCCAGGGATGCAACTTCTACTGAAGACATGCAGAGCCTTAACATCAGAGGATGTTTAATAGGTATCAAGCAAAGAAGCATTTCTAATTTGGTTAAATACTTTCAGCAAGAAAGAACTGCTGCCCTAGATTCCTTAACTAAAAGACCTTATTAGCATCTTACAAAAACATAGTCTTATTATGGGAAGGGATACCACACCAAAATGCTAAAATAGAAAAACATGACCAAACTATCACAAAGACAACATATCAAGTTTCCATGGAACACAGTTCATTCAAATTACATTCAAACCTATTCAAACTACCATCCTTATTAAGAAACCTCCTGTCTTAAAAGACCACCTTAAAGTATCTCAGCATATTTTATTTGTCCTTTATTATAGATCCACCTCTGGTAAACAACCAATATGGTTGGTCTCTTGAGTGATAGCTTATGACATGTTTTACTGTACTCTAATCAACCATTCTAAAGCATTTTCTAAGACATTACTTCCCAATAGAGATTTCTTCTGCTTAATGTCAAAATGATCTTCTAGATCGCCTATAAATGTGTTAAATAAAACCTAGTGGAATGCAATAGATTTTTCTAAACAATCTTTGGCCTTAATGCTGCACATTACTGTGTAACTGCTGTCAGGCACTGTATGCTCTCACCTCTCCTTGACTTCAAAAACTGTACAATTAACTAATCAGCTGCAGAGTCATGCAGATCGATAGACTTGTGTAACTTGCCTTATGTTAAATTTGGAAAGCTGTGTTTAATAACATCTTGGAAACTCAAAACTGAAATTTATTTTTCTCTACATTTATGCATGTTGAAGTTTTATTGTGGATATCAGCCTAACATCCTGGTTTAGATCTAATAGCATGAATAGCTCTTGCTATTTTGGAAGTTCTTTTCCTTTCATAGTGCTTCATATTAAAGAACGGTTTTCATACCTTCTATATACTGGGCTTGATTTATCCTCACGGGATAGGTATTAGCCCTCAGAGAGAGCAGTCAGTGTTTCTACTACTACCTTCTCCTGGAGGCTCCGCCAGAAGGCAGTTTGAATTTACAACTGAGGTTCCGCTGAAGCCATGCTACTGCCATTATCTGCCCAGAAAAGCAGGCAGAACCTAAGTGTTTAAGATCTTGTTTGAAAGCCCCACATGGTAAATTCCTTGAGTCACTATTTCAGTGTGGGCAGGTGAACGGCTGAGTTGACCCCATCCTTGTTTAAACCTGCAGTTCCCCGTAGAATCATGAAGGGATTATCAGTTCTGGCCATGCTGCGTTTGACCAAGTAACTGAGGACAAAGCCCCCTCTTTATTTCCCCATTCTGGGATAAACCGGGGTCCTGCCCAGCACCCAGCTCAAAGTAAGTTCAGGGCTCCTCAAATGTGGCTGGGGGATGCAAAGAGCCTTTCTGGCAAGTGAGACTAGCTGGACCACAGCCACCCTGGCCACATGCCACTGAGGGGAGTATGGCAGGTGAGTAGAGCCCTGAAGGGCCATATCTGCATGCTGAGGGGCATAGAAGGGGCATCCTGCAATGGACAATTAGGCCTGGAGCACATCACACCTGAACAAACTTCCCCGCAGTCAAAGTTAGTCAGCACAGAGAGGTGAGGTGACTCCCACCAGCCATGCTCCATCTGCCTGTGCTTTGCAACCCCCACCCTCCCAAACAAGAGGGCACCTGAGCAGGGCTGTTGGGCTAGGGGCCGCCACCCCCAGGTAACCCCTGTCCTGGGTCCATCACCAAGGCCCACAAGGGCGGGAACTGCTACGGGGAGAGGGGAGAGCCGTTGGGGGAGGAGCTAGGGGGGGAGAGAGCTGAGGTAAGCGGAGCGGAGCGGAGTTCCGTGCGGGGAGGAGAGCGCTAAGAACGGAAGAGCCGCACCAGGTGCGGGGAGGGGCAGATCGAAGAGAGGAGCCGAGATTTGGAACGCCGCAGCAACCCTACTTGAGCGACACGGAAGCGAACCAATGAGAGGTCGGGAGAAAAGAGGCTTACGCTCCAATAGCATGCGAAGAAGGCGGGGCCTATGAAGCCAATGGGTGTGTCTGTTGTTACGGTGTCGCCTTTTCCCGGAAGCGTTTAACAGTCCGACGGAGCGCCGCCGTTTCGCTCTGCGTGCTGGGTGAGTGTGAGAATGGCAGTGTCTCGCTGCTCCAGGGCGCGTGGGGGAGACCCTGGAGCTATCAGGCTGTGAGACTAGAAGGGATCTAAAAACTCGCCGTCCGGGGCAGCCTGTAGAGTCAGAGTTGAGGGGTAGGAGCCTGGGTGCCGTCCGCAGCGCCCTGTAGGAGCGGTCCCCAGTCACCGCAGCTTCACCCGTGGGAGGAGTCCCTGGTGGCCTCCCACAAGGGTTTCAGGCCCAGAGGGCGTTGGGGGATGTCCTGCCAATAAGACAGTGATTCTCAAACTTTTGTACTGGTGACCCCTTTCACACACCAAGCCTCTGAGTGTGGCGCCCCTCCCCCTTATAAACTAAAAAACACTTTTTAAATATATATTTAACACCATTATAAATGCTGGATACAAAGTGAGGTTTGGGGTGTAGGCTGACAGCTTGTGACCGCCCCCCCCACATAATAACCTTGTAACTTCTTGAGGGGTCCTGACCCCCAGTTTGAGAACCCCTGCAATAAGGGAAGGATGATCTTGTGGTTAAGGTCTTGGGTGATCTGGATTCATTCTTGGCTCCACCAGTGTCTTCCTGTGGGACCTTGGGCAGGTCATGATATACATATACAGTATAAGTTTTAAATCATTTAAAACAATTTAATGCTGTACTCACCAATGATGATTGCACGACTTTAAACGATTATGTTCTCCAATAGATCAGCAACCTAATAACGAAACAGTGTTAACAGGAAATGAGGAGTTACTGTAATTATCTAGTTAGATGGTGTTTGAGCACAAGCCTAGCTGGTATTGCTCTGGGATTGTGTCTTTTATTTTCTCTTTGTGCCATGGATGTTATAAACAGGGATGTTTATATTTTCAAGCAAGTTGACTTGGATCACAGTGTGTCACAGGGTCTCTTTAATGCCATCTCATGACCCTTATATGGTGATTTAGTGACATTGACAGTTTCACACCCGGTAAAGTAGTTGATAGCAAATAATTAATGTTCAGGAGGCTTTACAGAAAGAAACACTTCCCTCCCTCCAGAAGAATAGCAATCAGTGTTGAATAGTCATTTTAGTTTCCCCCACCCACAGTTACTGGAATCTTTGTAAGTACCACTATTTATTGGTTGACTGTATTGTTTGGTCAACACTTCTATAGGCATTGATGTTATTGTTTTGACAGTCCATTCTATGGTTTAGAGTGAATGACAATATAATAATACCTGAGTAAATGATGGTATAATAATGTTCTGAGACATAATTATTTGCTAAGTGGTTCATTGTCCATTGATGAATCATGTTGTTTACCTTTAATAACATTTTAAACTGCTTAACAGGCATCAACATTACTTCAGTGGGGATCCACCAATATCTTTTAGCTTATTAGCTTGCATAAGTGTAGTTCTGAAGTGACCCTGAGGCTTATCAGTCAATAACATTTTGGATCAAATTATTACCTTAGTTCAGCAAAAGTATCCAATCATGCAGAGTCCAATTAAAATCAATTTTGTAACAGTAACCTCTGATTATTATAGATGAAAAGAATAAGGGATAAATATTTTCTTTTCAGTTTTTGATGCCCTTGAAACCACTTCCCATAGTAAGTTTCTACTTTGGTGCATGCCCTTTCCCAGGCACTCAAGAGGGATGTCTGTCGGTAACAGGAGCAGCATAGCCAAAACTGAAACTAATAGGCATGTTGTGCACAGAGAATCAGAATGGTGGTTCTGAGCATGTTTGGCATTGTTCTTGAGATGGCATGTACAAATGATGCTACTAAATGCCAACAGGGAGCAGAAAAACATTAATTCTAAATGTGCATGAGTAGTCAACAAATACTAATAAAATGTTGACATATGTAAGTACACAGTGAAAGAAGTAATGGATATAACAGCAAGCTTCCAAGTAAGTCTGGCTATGTAGTTGTACAGAAGTTAACAAGAGTAACTATGGAAATGGAGTAGCAATATTATCACTCCTACCTGGAAATCTAGCATAATTACAAGATTTGTTTGCTACACAAATAATCAGAAAAGAAAACTGTTGTCTTTGCATGAATTGTATTAGTTTATAGTTTTGATGATGACCTATTTTGATTGAATTGGACTCCAGAAAATCTATAAGATAGTATTTTCAAAATATTCAGGTTAAAAGGAAAATCTGGAGGAGAAAATGATTACAGTACACTAACTGTGATGGGCTTCGTGGGGTGACGGGGGAGGGAAGGAGAGAGAGCCTGCCATAACCAGAGCACTGCTTTTTTGAGACAAAACCTTTCATCGGTATCACAACTGTATGTAAAAAGTAGTATTTGGGGGGTTGGAGGCGAATCTTAAAATTAACTAAAGGTGAGCTGCAGGCATATTACTCCTTACAGGTCAGTCGTTATTTTGAATAGCCACTTCCAAGTTTATCTAACATTGCCAATTCCAAGTGTTCAAAAATCATGAGTCAGGCCCCCAAAAATCACCATGAGGTTTGCTTAAATTTGTGTTTTTTAAGTCCATAATAATGTTTGGGCGCTTTAATTTGCCTTTTGATTTTTGAGCCATTTGTTAACAGTTGGATTACATTTCCAAACTCTTCTCTGCAACCGTGAGGGCTAGACATTTTTTTCTAAATTGAAAACTGCAATTCTCACCTAATTATCTGAATCCAGGATCTGGGGCTTTAAGAAACAACAAATATTGAGACATGATAAAGTCATGGGTTGGCAACATATTGGTCATCTCATATCTTTAGGACAGATGGCAAAAATATATTAAAGCCAGCTGCTATTCTGGCAGTATACATAGAGATAATAAGAGGAAAGTCATTTGGGCTCTCACTGAAGAAGACACAACCAGTGTGAAAGTCAATCTATTGGAGTGCTTATTAGAATCTGTAATCTTGTCCTATTAGTGGTAGATAGGCAGAGGTTTGAGTTCCAGCCAAGGGCAGATTTCATGCTGTCGCTTCGTTATGCTGAGTTAAAACCAACTGAACACCTACTTTTGTAAAAGCAACAGTTGATTATTTTTTAAGTAATTTTTATTATATCAGTGAATTAATACAATAAAACAGGATATTCTTCCTTTAAAATAAAAAAGCAAAGAGAAAAAACTGTCTTCTAAGATGTTGGCAAACTCAGCAGTGTTGGCAACCTAGATAAATACAGGTTTATGGTGAGGGTCAAGTCTTACCAATTGACCCTTCCACCATTGACTGAGACAAAACAAACGTGGCCAAACTGCTGTATCAGAAAGCTGATAACTTTTAAAGCAGCTGTGATATAAAAGTTAAACAAAACTATTTCTGGACCTCTGCGTTTCTATAGTAATGAAACTGTAAGTTACTTTTAGTTGCATTAGTGGATTTTAGAAAACTTACAATGGCAAAACCCCAGTCTTCCTATGGATACTGTGTACCTGAGTCTACCAGTAAAACGATGAATGAGTGAGGATCTTAGTCACTCTCCTGCAGTAGTATGAAAGCATTTTCTAATACTTTTATTAGGCTTTCATAGACTATAAATGCTATTGTTATGGGTCTGCTGAGAGTTATGTTGGAGCATGTGGTATGAGGAACAAAGACAAATTGTCCCATTTGTATTGTCTGAAATACTAGATACTTATTGTTTCTGCTGTCAAATACTGCAGCATAATGTAGTTAAGCCTGATAACTTCTCATTACACTCCATGTTTTGGATATATATCCTCTGTTCTGGTGTAGAGCACCTAAGAAAAACCATGTGTGTGCGCATACAAAACTTCCAAGGTTTTATCTTGTTAGCATTAAACTCAACACATTTACTAATATAGAAAGTAGGCTGCTGAACTGCTTAAGGGGCCTATCCAGGTTAAAGGATCTTCTTTGGACAGTTCCTAGTCTATGGATGTGCTATTGCCTTGTACTCCATGAGCAGAGCATGCTACTGATTCTGAGGGGTTGGGGAGCATACCCTTGACACTGTCTGTGGAATACAACATAATTTAGACACTTAATCTGAGAATCTTGTGGTTTTTTTTTGTTTTTGTTTTTACAAAGATTGGGTATGTATTAGAAGTCCTCTTCAGTTTACAGGGAAAGAAACTGATGTGCAGAGCAGTTAAAATATGTCTAATTAACCTAATTTGGAAATATAATCTAGGCCTCTGCTCCAACCACTAGATAAATGGCCTCACTAAGCATCATGCAGCCCCCTATGATCATTCCCTTCCCTTTGCTAGATTAACTTTACTGGCAATCAGGATTATGAATCTGAGGTTGACTGGGATGTGTCAGTGAATTTACTAAGTAATTAGTGATATATTTCTTTTTTTAATCCCAAAGCTGTACTATGGGGCTGTTTCTCTTTTGTCTGATATGTAACTGGAGGGAGAAATCTTTAAGGATCCATTTCCCAAAACAAGCACCTTCAGCTGATTTCTATTCTTCAAGGAGGAAGAAAACAAAGGAGTGGAATAAACTGAAAATTAAACAATCAGTCGTGCCAAAAGGAGGGGCAAAAAATCTGGTGAAGGAGATTGCAGCTCTCCAGAAACACAAGGTTGATCAGTGGAGGAGGATTAGCAGCATTCCTGAGAAATGGGAGCAAGCGAGCTTTCCCCCATCCTTGGCTGCCAATTTGTTAAATGCTTCGTGCCTACAGGTCAGGTTTGTTGCGCTTTGCCTTCTTGGAGTGGGAGAGAGGCAGTATGCTATGGATTTACCCCCCTGTAGGATAGGTGTCCCAGAGGGATCAATTGATAGTCTGAAGATGGAAAGTGTTAATGTTTATATCTTGTAAAGGAGCGCTACACGCTCAGTCTTGTCAGTGGCAGTCTCTTGTTTTGTGCAGCTAATTTGGTCTTCAGTGGAGGGCTGACTTTTCCCCCTGTTTTCATAAAAATGTGAAGGAGCCAACCGCTGTATTTTTCCAACTCTTGAGCAATCTGGAAGCCTGCTGATGTGACTTCTGATCTTGTATTTTTTGTTTTTTTCCACTTTCTGGCTGACTCCTGCAAGCAGGGAACTTGCAAAATAAAAACCAGTGGTCAACACATTCTCTCATGGAATAGACATTCTGTTTCCTTGGTAACAAGGCATCCAATAACTAAGCTCACTATTGGAAAATATAATCCCAACTATACATATAAAATGATGGGGTCTAAATTAGCTGTTACCACTCAAGAAAGAGATCTTAGAGTCATTGTGGATAGTTCTCTGAAAACATCCACTCACTGTGAAGCGGCAGTCAAAAAAACTAACAGAATGTTGTGAATCATTAAGGGATATATAATAAGATAGAAAATATCATATTGCCTCTATATGAATCCATGGTACGCCCACATCTTGAATGCTGTGTGCAGATGTGCTCACCCCATCTCAAAAAAGATATATTGGAATTGGAAAAGGTTCAGAAAAGGACAACAAAAATTATTAGGGATATGGAACGCTTTGGATATGAGGAGAATAATAAGACTGGGACTTTTCAGCTTGGAAAAGAGACAACTAAAGGGGAGGATACGATAGAGGTCTATAAAATCATGACTGGTTTGGAGAAAGTAAATAAGAAAGTGTTTACTACTTCTCATAATACAAGAACTGGGTGGGGGGGCAAAATTAATAGGCAGCAGGTTTAAAACAAACAAAAGGAAGTATTTTTTCACACAACGCACAGTCTGTGGACCTCCTTGGCAGGGGATGTTGTGAAGGCCAAGACTATAACAGGGTTCAAAAAAGAGCTAGATAAGTTAATGGAGGATAGGTCCATCAGTGGCTATTAGCCGGGATGGGCAGGAATAGTGTCCCTAGCCTCTGTTTGCCAGAAGCTGGGAATGGGTGCCAGGTGGTGGATCACTTGATGATTATCTGTTCTGTTTCTTCCCTCTGGGACACCTGTCATTGGCCACTGTCAGAAGACAGGATACTGGGCTAGATGAACCTTTGGTCTGACCCAGTATGGCCGTTCTTATAGTTGCTCTTTATTAAATATCTTCAGTTACTTAAACGAATTGATTGAGAAATTATATTTAGTTTAATGATTTGAGATGTACCTAAATAAGACACCCGCTAAGATCTGAACACTTGCAAACTTGGTGGAATTTAGGCCTTCTTCACAGAAATCTGTACAATAAACTGGATTGTTTCCAGTATTCTCTCCATCGTGTAAATGAAGATGTTGAGATGGTCAAATGCTCTGAGATAGGAAATAAAATGAGGTTGTGAGATGCCTAATGCAGGTTGCTTCAATTGAAGACAAGCTGAGGGAGGCTAGGCTATTGTGCTCTGGGCACATCCAGTAGAGATCTGAAAGCTGTATCAGTAGGATGGCTCTTGAAATGATCATGGATGGAAGGAGACCAGAGACTCGGTATGTGGACTGGACGTGAGCCGACCTCAAAGAGATCAATCTGGCATATGAGCATATGTGTTTTAGAAGAAGGCTATAAAAGTTGCTGATCCAGAATAGGAAAGTGACAAGAAAGAAGAAGAAACTGGATTGTTTCCCATGATCTTAATTCAGTGGCTTTCCAACTTTCATTTTTCAGACTACTTTTTAGATGTTCATTTAGGGAACCACCTCCATTCACACCAAACCCAAATCCCTCACTGCTTGGTTGACAAACAGTTTAATGCTTGTGAACTGCTGTGTAGTTCTCCATAAATTACAGGTGATCATTGACAACCACTTCTCTTAATGTTTGGGGTATTTCTGGACAGAATGGTATCTTGTAATGGAACAATTTCTTCCAAAATACTGGACTGGAACACCTGGCTTTCCCTTATCTGTTACAAATGAACTTTGTTTCTTTGAAAACCTGACTATTCTAAATGGGAAACCTCATTCTATTCCTAATTTGATTCAGTGCTTTTTTGCATATTGCTGTAAATGACAGGTTTTGCCAAGTAATTGGTCTCTAAGTATTTTGACACATTACCTAAACAATACCTAGATGGATGTCACATTCTCCAGAGTTTAGAATAGAGGAATAAGATCAACTCTCGGATATCTACTTGTCTACAGTAGAATTCTCACTGTTGCTATCACCAATGTAGTTGCACTGGTGGGAAGTATAATGAAAAAAACAATATAGACACATACATCCTTTGTTTTACTTCACTCCTACTCCCCCAAGGCATGTAATTTGATCTGTGCATCCTTTATTCCAGCTGGAAAATAGGGTGAAAAGCAGGAACTGCAGGGAAATCTGGGTTGTGACTATGAACTGAGCTTTTCTTGGTAAATGCCTAAAATATCAAATGTGAATATCTTATCTTGCTTTGTCTTTATACATAGTATTAACATATTTAATTGTTACCCTTATATAAAGTAACCAATGTTGTGGTTTAATTTGAAAACCATATTTATGAAGAGTTGCTTTTTACCTGCATAATGCTAGTGCTAAAATCAATGTATATTGTTTAAACTAGTTTAATTTACTATTATCAGTGATTTAAAATGTTCTACCTCAGCGATAAGCTATCCTTTTCTTTTAACTCTTGACTTGAAGGAGAATTTGGGTGGATTTTTTTAATCAATATTTCTAGGCAAATGATTGACAAATTCCAGAAAAGGTAGTACAAGCAAATTGGTCTGTGTGCCCCAGTTTGTAAGTCTTAGATGGCTGAACTTTTCTCCTTTTCTTATTGGGAAAAGATTGGTTTAAAAAACACACACCCAAGTGGTGTATAGAATACGGCTGAAAACTGAGACTACTGTCAAAATAGGTCAGAGAGCTCACCTGCCAAGGTTGACACTTTTTTCTTTATATTTCCACTCTTTTAAAAAAAGTTACTGACGACATTAGGATTACCGAGGGGCAGTAAAGTAGAAGATCCTGTAAACCCTTCAAAAATGAGCTGCGTTTGAAAATGGTGCTCAAACGTGTTTGTTCTCTATACTGAATTTGAACATGTTAAGATGGTCTCTATAGACCCCAGCACATTCCGTTCAATAAACTGCCTCTTGAGATGGGAGAAATATTTTCAGACGCAACTTATTTGCTTTACCATGGTGCCATCATATTTCTGTGGCTTTAGTTTTTTGTTGTTGTTGGTTTTTATAAAAACAGCTCAGATCTATCTTGTCCAGTTCATCTCTGTACAAACCATTGGGCTCTAGCCAAATGCAATTGAAACTGCTGTCAGATAGCTGCACAAAAGGAATACATGCTACATGAGAAGACTGCAAAGGGGAATTATTGAAATGGCTCAAACATAAGGCAGCTGTGAGAAGGGCTTCCTTGGTTGAAAGTGAATAAATGTTTTTGAATCTTTGACTTGTCAAATAGAACATACTTTCATAGTGTCTGAATTACATTTCAATGTGCATTCTCACTCACTCCACCAAGAATGGCACTGAAAGAAAATGGAGACAAATAGATTCTTCCTTGGCCTAGTGATATAGTGGTCAGTTGAGGCAAATTCAGTGAGTAAAATAGAGTATGTATTTATTGTTGTGGCACATAAAACTATCAGAATCTAGTGACTAATGAGTTTTAGCTGTGCATTAGTATGTAGTGTAAAGAACAGTTTCAGATCAGTTGTGTAGTGGTTGACATTGCAGTGGTAACTGACAGATGTTATTTATGATGGTTTATTTACAAAAACAAAATGAATAACAAATGGCTTCATATTTCAGACATTTCTATTGACAGTTCTTCAGAGCAAGATGGGTATACATCAAATTTGTGAGCTAATTGTTCCTAATCAGCCAAATGGTGCTAAACCAAATGAAAAGAGAATACATATATTGTGCATTTACCTTTTAAGTGCGCCCCTCCTCCCGTACACAGATCCCTGTCTTTGCATACACCAGATCATGCATTTTAACAGACCCCTTATAATAGAACAGCACACTATGCTGTCAGACTGTCATCAGTCATCATCACAGAGTAATAATTAGCATAAGAATGCCAGTTACCTGCATAGTCACTCTAGTGTCACTTTCAGAATCAGCAGTGCATTTTGAAGCAGAATACTTAATTGCAGAATATTTGCAACTCTTGGTTCAGACTAGCTGTTTTTGTCTGTTAGTAATAACTGAGTTCAGTGGTAGAATAAAATTCCATTGCAGTAGTAGAAGCCTTTTGCTATCACTTTGACCTTTGACCCTATCTTTCCTTTTGCTCACTAAAGATAGTGAGATTAGAGCTAAATAAACTCATTCACTCTTTATTTACACTGAAGACCTTGAAGGGCCATCTTCAACTTTTTAATATTCATTCATTCTCTAGCAATAATGGGCCTTGTCATAGTAAACACATCAAACAGCGCAAATACTTAGGATTTTTGTTAGAAGAGAATATGTTAGCTTCATCTTTATATCTTTATTGTGGTTAACCTTTTCCCATTAAGTTCTCCCCACAAACTGGAGAATGATTTTATGCTGCACAGTGAGGCATCAGTTTCATGTTTTCCTTTATTTTTGAGTGAAGCTGGGAAATATGCTTCTGGGTGGCCTTACAATTTGTAGTGTTTGCTGTGGGATCTGGTTGCAAGTATCTTCCTGTTCTGGTCCACTGCTGGAGGAAAAGATCTATAGAAGATAATGTGGTAGTACACTAGACTGGGAGCTAAGAACCCCTGAGTTCTAATGCCAGCTTCATCAGACTTGTGACCATGCACAGTCAGTTTTTCATGTGTCTGCTGACTTTTGGGTAGCCA